GAGAGGGAGGGGGAAGAGACAGAGAGAGAGAGAGGAAGAGGAGAGAGAAAGAGAGGCAGCTGCACCGCGATGCACCGCCACCCCATTTCGTTCACGAATCGATTCCAGACTGTGTTCATACGACGGAGACGAGCTGCGGCCGACAGAGACAGAGCGAGAGCCAGGGAAGGGGATGACTTAGACGATCGTCGAGCGCTCGAGAATCCATAGACGCGTACACTATACGTAAATACACATATATATTACAGAGTTCCTTGTTCCGATATACGCGCGTGTATCCGCGCGTATTTCGCACGTTTGTTGCGCGTGGCCTTCAAACGTTGTACATAATAATATTTTATTCGCGAGGGAGGATGATGGGGGAGGGAAGGGGGCACGCGCGTGCAAACACGAGTATACGTCGTTCTAGATTTAAAGAAGGAGAAGAAAGAAAAAGAAGAAGAAGAAAAAAAAAAAGAAATTTGCAATAAGCATGCCAACAATCTTCTCGCAATAAGTAAGGAAACGCATTAACGGTATACAAAGTACGAGATTAATTGAACGTTGTAAACGTTGTAAGTAATAGCGGCGGCGTAAAGTATAGTAGGCGTAAAGTGAAAAGAAGAAAATTTAAGGAAAATAACAGAAAAGAAATATATATCTCTATTTTATTGTAACATATATATTTATATATGTATGTATGCACGATCGCTCGTCAATATCCGGACACTTCGACGAGTTTTATACGACGAATTAATGGCAGAAGTAATTGGAACATATTCTTTTCTTTTCTTTTCTTTTCTTTTTCCTCTCTTCGTAAAATTAACAAACCGTGAAATTTTAATCGTCCATCGAAAAATAACCCATCCTATATTTTATTACGAAAAGAGTTCCTTCCTCTCTGTTCGTTGATCAAAAAGAACTTTTCGAAATAATCGACACGGGAAAATTCGAAACGTCGAGTCTTAAAATTCGCATCGTCTCTTCGATCGTTATTCGCATCGTGATATACCGAGTTATATACACTGATGGTGATATGCGGAAAGCCGGTATATAAGATCCATTGCAAATCCATTTATTCTCAATTTTATAATTGAATCACTTCCTGCCTCGAGCGATCAAGTGTCTGGATACTTTTGAACGGTGGTGTGTATGCACGATATATACATATACATATACATATACACATAGATACACATTCGAATAAGTATTTTTTCGGTGGCTCTATATTTATACTTCGATCGATCGAACGTACACACACATACTCGATATATACATATATATATATATATATACACACACACACAGTGTACATACGTACACTGTTAGAAGAGAGGTAAAAAGGGGGAGGGAGGGGGACAGAGACGAGAAAGGTGTCTCGTGGCACCGCGAATACATTGGCGCAGGTACAGACGGAAGTTCAAAGAAGACTTATCGACCACCGTTGCGAAGAGTCCTTTCTGCCTGGATTCTTCCCGCTTATCGAAAAACAACTATGTGTTCGATTTCTTATTCTCGGGAATTCGAGTTTATTTCGAGAGGACAAATGTGATACAGAGACGAAGATACGAGGATGTTTCGTTTTTTTTTTCTTCCTTTTTTTTCTTTTTTTTTTTTTGTAATATACACTTGTTAACTATATAGTTTTCCATAAAAATGTGAGGGATGAATTTAAGAGAGGTTAGAGGTTATGTTATCGAAAGATGAGAAAAAGTTGGTTTGGTTGTAAAAAGAAAAAAGTTTATTTTTTTTTTTTTTTTTTTTTTTTTTTTTTTTTTTTTTTCTCTAAAATTAACTACAAATACTAAACACGAAGATCCTAATTAATTACTTACGAATCTCGAAAAAAATGTGGGATTCGCGAAGAATGATCAAAAGAAAAGAAAAAAAAAAAAAAAAAAAAAAGAAACGTTGGAACGAAACACCTTGTACGCGTGCAACTGTATCACGATATCGAAATCTTTTATTTAACTTAAGAATCGACTATCCACAGAAAGTTGAAACAGTATACCTAATATACCTATGTATATATATATATGCAGACGAATATTTTATTATCGAAATAGTGTTTCTATTTTATGAGATATTTGTATATATATTTAACTTATTCGTATTTAATTCGGGGGCGTAGCTCGCGATCATTTATTCTAATTATTACCGAATTAGAAGTTCCTTTAATTTAGAGCAATAGATTAAAACGGTATATCGTACGATTTCATAAAATATTTACTTTAATTTATACACAAATGATAAAAGTAAATAACGCTGATAATTTATAAAAATAGCGAATAAGGATGATTGATACGTAATTAGAAAATTTTGAATTCTGCGAATACTACCCTTTTCTCTTCTTTCTTCGTTTTCTTCGAACATCGATGGATGATGAAACTGGATCAATCCGACGAGATGATTTC